AACACTTGTGACTAATGTTAACTCATCTTCCTCATGAACACTTGTGACTAATATTAACCCATCTTTTTTATGAACACTTGTGACGAATATTAACCCATCTTCCTCATGAACACTTGTGACGAATGTTAACTCATCTTCCTCATGAACACTTGTGACTAATATTAACCCATCTTTTTTATGAACACTTGTGATGAATGTTAACCCATCTTCCTTATGAACACTTGCGACGAATATCAACCCATCTTCTTTATGAACACTTGTGACGAATATTAACCCATCTTCCTTATGAAAACTTGTTACGAATATTAAAAAGAAAGAGCTTAAAATTGCGAATACAGTTAAAATATTTTAAAAACAAAAACCTATTTATCAGTTACGATTTTTACAGAGATTACATGCTAATTAGAATCCGGTAATATCAGCTAATTTTATATACATATGATATAGAACATTTATACCAGTCTATAACTTCTACTTTCACTAAATTTAATCAAATATTACAACAGTGAGCTTCAGTTGTCTTCAAAGCGTATTTTGAGTATGAAACGATGTTCTTATAACAGAAAGGATTTGCTGAATGAAATAAATAATTACGTGGGAGGTTTATACCGTTATTTCTAGAAACCCTAGAACATTTTGAGTTGTTGGTTTTTGTACTTGGCGTGGACATTCATCATAAACTCGTGAAATATATATAGCCCTAGAAAAGTAATATTTAAAGCAGGGGCTAGAATGAAGATACCCCTTGATAGAATTAATCTCTAAAGCAGTGTGAAACTACTCCTTATAAAGTTACTCTCTAAAGCAGGGACTAGTGTGAAGCTACCCTTAATAAAATTAATCTTTAAAGCAGGAGCTAGTGTGAAACTACCCGTTAGAACGTAAATCTCTAAAGCAAGGGCTAGTGTGAAACTACCCTTAATAAAATATATCTTTTAAAGCATTGGCTATTGTGAAACTACCCCTTGGTAAAATTAATATTTTAAAGCAGGGGCTAGTTTGAAACTACCTCTTATAAAGTTAATCTCTAAAATAGGGGCTAGTTTGAAACTACCCCTTATTGAAATGGTGAGATAATCAAGTTCAATATTTTTTTTTTCCAGATTGCGAGAAGTTAATCTACATAGGATTATTTTCTCTTCGGTGTGAGAAACAAAATGTTTTTTATTTTTCACCAATCAGCATTTTCGTTGTTGTTGTCTTACCATTTATCGTTTTCCGTTCAACGTAGCTCTAGTTTATTTTCCCTTTAGGGCAATTAATTTTTACCTTATTTATTCACAGTTATCTTCTAGAGGTCACTAGTGCTCTTTGTTCATGAATGCCGCGTCGTGTAGTATCTTCCTATTGCACTTTAATGTCATAGATATTGTACCTGTACCTACGCTTCTACAAACCGAAACCAAAACCTCTTACAGAGCTATCTCTACAGTGCTTATTAGATAGAAACGTTCCAGAAGTTGTGGTAGATTTCTACTGTTATTTTACCTTTATAAACAGAATGGTAGACGAATACAACAATTACTCACGCAGCTACGTACACTCTTAAACGGTAAACCTTATTGTTCCTAAACTGATATTTTCTAGACTCTTAAAGTTTTCCATGTGCTGACACTTGGCTAATATTTTATGCATATGAAATAAGGTACTTCCAAGAAAGGCTGCTTAAATTTGTTGAAAAGTGGGAGTGTGGGGTAAAAAGAGCTAATTCAATCTAACATATATAGTTGTATTGTAATGGTGTATGTACACTAAATGGGAAAAGTGTGTAGGGGGGGGGGACACGTCCCTATATTTTAGGCGTCTATACTTCATGTGAATAGGCCCACTTTTTTTTCACCATCTCTTTTTTCTTTTCTTTTTTTTTTTTCAAATTGGCGATATATTATTTTGATAACTATAATTCTCCCAATTCCTTCCAAAACCAACATATGACGTTTTCTGGGGAGATTTAGAATTACCGAGCGTCGCGTGTACACGTTTTGCACCAAAGTTCACAATAAAAAAAAAAGATCGTGACTATTCTATGTGAAATATTGAATAAAGAGTACATCGTTTTCTGTAAATAAATAATTTAGATGAAGTACAAGGTTCCCACGCATATAGCGCCATAAAGTTAAAACGTGAACAAACCACATATAACAACGAGACAGCATGTAAATTACATGTTATTCACTTATACTTTGTACGAGTTAGAACTTTTCAATAGACCATTAGTTACTCGATAATCTGAAATGATAAGTATTTTTTTACTTCTCGCTTTTATAAATGTTTTACAGAAGTAACGATGAACAGCGCGTGACAATATAAAATCACGTTATTACGGATACTGAGCGTGCCAAAGAACACTCCGACATAGGATTTATGATTGGCCAAAACTACTAACGAATAATTATGGTTGCTGAACGTGCCGAATGTATAGATACCGATATATGATCTATGACTGACCAAACCTACTAATAGATGGTTACTGAATGTGCCGAATGTTTACATGCCGAAGTGGAATCTATGATTGGCCAAACCTGCCAATAAACAATTATGGTTACTAAATGTGTCGAATATGTACGTACCAATGTAAGATTTATGATTGGCCAAACCTACCAATAAACAATTATGGTTACTAAATGTGTCGAATATGTACGTACCAATGTAAGATCTATGATTGGCCAAACCTACCAATAA